TGGTCGAGAGCCTGCAGATAGTAAGACACTAGGTCAGCCATGGGGTTCGACCAGAAAGAGGCCATAGGATTCCAAGGGTGCTTCTCAGTCTAATTGATTTTTGAATTATAGCAAGCCCCTAGGTCAGCAGGCTCCTGGTCTGGCAGTATCTAGTTGAAAGAAGATATTTAATGAGAGTATCTAAAGGCCAATGGGAAGGCCTTAACCAGTTTGGCCCAGTGGATAGAGCGTCAGCCTGTGGACTGAAGGGTCCCGGGCTTGATTCCGGTCAAGGGCATATGCCTGGGTTGTGGGCTTGATCCCCAGGAAGGGGGCATGCAGGAGGGAGCCGGTTAGTGATTCTCATCATTGATGTTTCTGTCTCTCCCTCTCTGAAATCAATAAAAATATAAAAATAATAATAATAAAGGCCAATGGGAAGGATCCATTGAGAGGGGAAGAGGTTGAGAGAGCAAGAAAGGATCATTGATAATGGCAGGATCCAGAAAGAGTGCAAGAACCAAGTGTGGGGGAAGGGACTGGCTTTTAACAAGAAGACAGCAGATGGAGCTAGGTCGTGGGGGGAACATGAGAATGTTCCTAGCGGCTTCTATTTTCTCCATCAGTGTGGAGATGAGGCCATCTACTGAGACCCAAATGGATTAGAATTTGGGGCAAGTGGAAAGGTTTAAAAAAGTCTTAAGCCTCAGTTTCCTGGGGTAAGTATTAGTACCTACTTCATACAGTTGTGAGAATTAAAGGATTAGCCTCAGGCCTGGCACATGCTATACTATAGATTCTCGTTGTCACGTGCCCCATGGAGTTGGCAGCTGCTGGCATGTGGGCAGATATTCCATGCCCTTGGTTGGCCATTAAGTATCTTGTTTACTATTAGGTTCCTCGTCTCATAGTCTGTTTTGGTGCCATAGAGCAAGTTATAAAAATTATTTTAGCGATTCATTGTTGGTCTTCTCATTTCTCGTTCTTCCTCAGGTTTTGATGGGACAGTCCAGGTCTATGATGTCACATCTCGGGATGGAATGGAGGGTCATGTAGAACCTCTCTTCACTCACAGAGGTCACGTCTTCCTAGATGACCATGGGACAGGCCTTGCTCCGCTGGTCACCACCCACACCTGGCACCCCCGCAAGCCAAGGACTTTGTTGTCGGCAGCAAGTGATGCCTCTGTGCACGTGTGGGACTGGGTGGACCTCCGTGCCTCCCGCTGACACCAGCGTCTTCCTGCCCGGCCCCTGGAAGAGGAGCTGCTGTACGCACAACAAGGGCACTGATTTAGGACTCAGGTGACCACAGTCCCTGTTACCAGTGGAGTGGCCTTGGGCCAGTGAAGCAGCCTCTCTTAGCCTCAGTGTCTTTATTGGTAAAATGAGAAGAGTAGTTACTACCTCGCAGGGTTGTTGGGGAAGTTAGAAGAAATATATGGGAAAATACCAGGTAGGATGCAGTATAGAGATTCGATGGCTGCTCTTAGGTCAGACAGTTGTGGGCGACAGGATCCTGCTGCTTCCAGCAGGTGTCAATCCCACGGGTTTTTGGCACGAGAGACGCCTTCCTGACCTAATGGACGGTGGGGGGCCTTCTCAAGAGCAGTGCTGACCATCACAGTCATTCCCCGTGTCCTGACTTTACAGCCCCACCCCCATGTAAGCTCTGGCTCCCGGCACTTTGTACAGTTGGGAGGCTGATATAACATAGTGATTAAGACACTTGTGTTGGAGTCAGACAGATCAGAGTGTGCATGTGTGGAAGGCTTCAGAGAGACAGGTCTGGGGCCCAGGCCCACTGCAACCTGCCCACCAGCTCTCTTGGGGCTGCTCCTGTCAACCCCTAAGCAAAACTCGGAGATCCATCCAACAATACAGCTACTTTGCAATAGGACCCAAAGGTTCAATCATGTCAGTAAAGACCAGTGAAGCCCCGTGATTCAGGCTGGCTGCTGTTGGATGACAGCTCCTCCTTGATCAGCGTGGTGCTCAGCATTTTAAGAATTCCCCGTGTCTGACTTTACAGCCCCACCCCCATGTAAGCTCTGGCTCCCAGCACTTTGTACAGTTGGGAGGCTGATATAACATAGTGATTAAGACACTTGTGTTGGAGTCAGATCAGAGTGTGCATGTGTGGAAGGCTTCAGAGACACGGATCTGGGGCCCAGGCCCACTGCAACCTGCCCACCAGCTCTCTTGGGGCTGCTCCTGTCAACCCCTAATCAAAACTCGGAGATCCATCCAACAATACAGCTACTTTGCAATAGGACCCAAAGGTTCAATCATGTCAGTAAAGACCAGTGAAGCCCCGTGATTCAGGCTGGCTGCTGCTGGATGACAGCTCCTCCTTGATCAGCGTGGTGCTCAGCATTTTAAGAAGTTTTCATTTAGCCCTAGCCGGTTTGGCTCAATGGATAGAGCATCGGCCTGCGGACTGAAGGGTCCCAGGTTTGATTCCGGCCAAGGGCACATGCCTGGGCTGTGGGCTCGATCCCCACTCATTTAACAACAGGGATAGCTCAGAGCAACTAAGGTTGTGCATTCTCTGAAGAGTCCGTCTGAACTTGGGAGGAAAACTAGTTCCAGGGAATAAGCAAATTTCACTTTGACACAAACAGCGAAGTACTGCACATCCCCCTCCCTGCTGACAACCCGGGTAGCTCTGTCTCTCACGTTCCTCTATTTTGACTAGTCAGAACTAGGTTCCATATCTCACCTGCAGCCCCCATCTTCCGGGTTGTGCAAGTCCTCCAGCCACTGCCTCCTCGCCACTTTCTGGGTGTTTTGTCTCACCCAGATCTGGGTCCCCTGGGGCAGGACAGGTACTCTTCCAGGATTAGCAACTCCAGGATCTGCTCTTTCGTACATTTCTCTGGTCTCAGTCCCTGGCGACAGAGCTCCCGGAGATGGATGAGAGGCTCCTGGGGTGCTGACGCTTCTTGAGAGTGGAAATGCCAAAAGCATTGGTCCGGGGCCACTCCCTTGAAGGGAAATTTCCTGCTCCCAGTGAGAATCTTCTTCCAGCTTCACTATTCAAAGCTCTCCTTGTACTTGAGGAGCCCGGATTTGTTGGTCCCCAGCTACAGCCATTGTTCAGCTCAGAGAAGAACCTTATGACCGTGCTCTGAAGTCGAAACCCCTTTACCTCGTTGGGAAGCCACCGTCAGAGGGGAGCCACTCAGTAGAACTAGAACCAGAGACATACATTACAGAGTGAACCCTAGTGAAAGGCGCCAGTGTCAGTCATCCCAGCAGGACTGAGGTGAAGAAAGAGCCTTCCTGTTCTCCCCTCCCCGTGTCTTGGTGCCCGTGGAGTCTGGCCCTCTGTCACTGGGGAGGCAGCTCCAGAAGTTTGATAGGAGGGGGCAAAGGCAGGTGATCTGATTGGAAAGTAAAGGCATATGGAGCTGTGTTTGCATAGCAATTTGAGAAAATGCCAGTTATCCATGCTGAAGAATGAGGGTGGGCTGCAGAGATAATAGGGACAATAAGTTCACCCTCCCCAGCCACTGGTCACCAGTGTTGCAAAGGGAAGGTGCAGGTCAAGCACAGAGGGCGCCCAACGTAGCAGCACCTTGGAGAGCAGCACCGGGTGGAGGCGGCTGGCCCTTCAGATTCAAACGCTCCAGCTGCTGAGCTGCCTCTCATCTGGCTGAGTTCTCAGCTTTAGGCGCCCGGTTCAGGATTCCTCAGTCCTGGCACCATAACTCTCCCAAACAGGAAGGCTTACCGTGGTTAAGGTTACAGCTTTAAGAGCAAAGATAATAAAAACAGGTTCACAGGGTGTTAGAGTTGGAAGGAAAGTTAAGATATTCCGGCTTCGACTCAAAGCTGAGGCAGTCGGGGCTTAAACTCGCCCAAGGTCTCACAGCTGGTTTATGGCAAGAACTGGGACAGTGGCTCTGCCCTTGGACCGTGGGCTGGGCGACAGGCCTGCAGAGCCTGACTTACTCTGCTCCAAGGGCCACCCTGGTGGGGGGCGAGGTCGTCCCCGCCGGGCCGGAGGCGGTGGGGGAAAGGGTGC